ATCTGTTCATCGGTATGGATGGTGTGAGTGCTCGTTGTGGTGGTGTTGTTGAGGTTGTTGTGGGGTTTGTGGGGTAGTCAAAAATAAAGAGAATGTTGAGAAGTGTTGCAAATATTGGAACTATAGTATAGGTGTTTGGTGTGAGTGAAGGGAACGCATGCACTGCAAGCACACCATAAGCATAAGTGCATCACAATTGAGAGATGGATGTGTTTGTAGTCCACATATTCCGCCTCAATATATGCTTCACTTGCTTGTGATCGCAGGTGTGCTTTGAAACAGATCTCTATACGGATCAGACTATTTGTTTGTGTTGTGCGATATAGACATTCACGCATTAAAACAAACCATTTTTTGCAATCAATTTCATTAATAATTCAATGATTTCCTCACTATTGAGTCATTATATCAATTGATATTCAATTAAGTTTTTGTGTGAACATAAGTACAAAAAAAGTTTATCAATAAATTTAATGGAATTATTGATATAATTGTGTAAAAAAGTTGTGAAAAGTTATCAAAAGTAATGCCTCGTCCGGGAAGAAGCACTTATGGGGACCAAAAGCCCCCCTATTCTTATATATCGCTCACATTTATGGCAATTCAAAGCTCAGGGGAGAAGATGTTAACGTTAAGTGAGATCTATAAGTTCATTATGGATCGGTTCCCATACTATCGCAAAAACACTCAGCGCTGGCAAAACTCTCTCCGACACAACTTGTCATTCAACGACTGCTTTATTAAAGTCCCGCGAAGACCAGACCGACCGGGAAAAGGCAGTTATTGGGCACTTCACCCGACTTGCGGTGATATGTTTGAAAACGGATCCTTCTTGAGAAGAAGAAAACGCTTCAAACTTCCCAAACATATGCGAGACATCGAAACGGCACAGCAGGCCATGAATGAGTTCAAACAAATGGAGGCATTGGAGGCACAGAACTCAATACAAGAACAGGCGAAGATGCGATTGACAGCACTGGCAGCCGCTCCCAGTCATCTCCAGACTCACATGCACTCAGACATCGGTCACAGTATTCATCAAAATCCATACAAACAGTCCTTTTCTATCGAACACCTCATCGGACCGGAAAAGACCAAAGAATCCAATTCACAGATATCTATGGCTCAGCACCAGTTGGCTGTGGCTCAGGAACAGGCGGCCGCTGCGGTCAGGGCTGCCCTTCACGCGGCTTCCACGGGATCGCTGCTCTCTGCACAAGGTTTCAGACCCGGTTTGCCCGCCTTTCCCGGCGCTGTAACTATGCCTCCGACCTCAATGTCTTGGACTCCGCCATACACTACATCGTCAGCGATGGCAGTGGCGGCGGTGGCGGCCGCTTCACTACAGTCTCACTTTGGTTCCAATGGCTGTTCAATGGGCTCAACACCGCTCGCACTTCAGGCAGATTACCCTCATTTGCTGTCAATGAATAGCGCGGCGATGGCGTTAAGACATGGGCTCACAAATACCTCAAACAATTCACTCAACTCTTTTAACTTCAGTTCATTACCGGTTAGACAAAACTTTTTGCCGGCTTTGCATCACTTCCCGAACTTCGCTGCGGCGGCGGCCGCTCTGGAGGCTCACGACCAAACAGCCGCTCTCCTCAGTGCCGCCGGCTCTGCAAACCTGACGCCTCCGCCCAACTGTTCGCCGTCACCACCAGTTCGAGTCGATTCCGTCTCCAGTGATGTCTCCGCAAAGTCTTTGGATGTGGTTTCGGACGAGTCGTCGAAATGAACTCAAAAGACGTCATTTTTTGACAGAATTGTCATTTAGTGTAAAGAAAACTTTTAGTGTTTAATAGTGTAAAGTAATTATTAATATAATGTAATGTATAGTACTTTTATCAACACATTATCATCTCATGACACCATTGCTTCTGTTCCTAAAAACTATGTCTTGAAGTCATATAAAAGTAAATACTGAAGACTTTCTGCAATAATAACTTCCAACAGATTATACAACGACTAAACGACTGAAGAACTGATAATTGAGAAGAAGTGACACTAAAGAACATGAATTGAAATGAATTGAAACGAATGGTAGGAATAACTTGAATATAATTGTTATGATTCATAACATTTACAATTGATATAACGTTAGGATTTAGTTGTTTTTAAAATAAGTGAAAGTAATCTATCATTTCGTAGCAAATATTGTAGAAATATATTATGATTTATAATCATTTATTATTACTATTATTGTAAAGTCATAATTAAAAAATTTTATTTATGCCTCAAGTGATTTAAATGAGTCTCACGTTTGCTCATTAAAGTTATAAAATTGAAAACAAAAATTCATTTGACTTTTTTATTTTACTAGTTTATAATAGTTTATAATAGTTTATAAGCGCGACTTTAAGTCACAATCAATCAGTCAAACATTGCAAACACCGGTCTATCTCTCACTATCTCCTAAACATATAAGCAATAACTTAATGCTAATAAAGCTTAATGTAATCACTCGCGTCTCACGACTGCAACTATTTATGAAAGTTATTACATAAACGGCACTCACTTTTTCCACATCCACTCAATCATTATATACTGCTCTCAATCCTTTAAATTGGTCCCCATTTAGACCTTTTGTCTCATACTTTACTTCAATTATATTTAGTTATGAATCCAATCAATGCGTTAAATCACTACATCTTATATCGCATACCTTTATATCAAAATGTCTTCTTATAGTGACTGATAATCATATTCTTTCATAAAAATGCAAACATTTCGTGGTTTTATAGTTTACAAACTCATGAATTTAATGTCTATTAAAATTTTGGATTAATGGTTATAATCCAGAATTAAATACCAAAGAGAAGTCAAACGCAGGCATCAAATGAAATGTTTGTTAGTTTTTTAGGCTCCGATCTCACGAGAAATGCGCTAAAAACAGGATTTTATTTAATATAACAATTGATTAATATTTTCAATTTGCATAAATGCTTAACAAAACGCTTAACCAAATGTGAGTAAAATTTTAATTTGTCTCGACTTAATCGGCGAATCGCAAAATGAACATAAAAAATATATTTACTTATGTTATTCTCTAAACATAAATATTTATTTAATATTATAATGATTTAAACAAACAATAAATTGTTGAAAGACTTTAAGTATAGCGCAAATATTTAAGTGATTATTCGGCTAATCATAACTTCTAAGATATTGAATAAATACCAACATTTATAACACTTTTCCTTTTTGATGACAAATACTCTTTTTTGGCTGTATTTATGAGGAGATAATTGTTATTTAAGGTATTATTCAATGTAATGATAATTTTGAGTTTATTGTTTTGTTGGTTTTTGTATACAAAACGCTTATAATTTATACAGTAGTATTCAAAAAACAAACCATTTTCTTAATATTTCACAACAGAATCTTATTAATATATTACACATTAATATTTAGTTTATCTAATTTTTATTCAAATTAAACTGTTTTCTATTCAATCTATTGAACAAATATTTACAGAAATATTACTTTTATTGAATTTACTAAAAGAAATGAATTTCATTTTAATAAATTTAATTTATTGTTTTATTGCAATAAAATAGTAAATTAGAAAACGACAGATCATTTTGAGTCAATTCAATCACAATCTGTACAAAATTTATAGATAATATGTAAAAGCGGTTTAATTGAAGCATTTTAATTGATTCCTAGTTTTACCATGAAGTAAGTCATGTCCATATTATTATGTTTTTCTTTAATGATAAACAGAGAAACAATAAAATAACGATCAAAACAAGTGTTCATGACTTGAGAAATAAAGATAAAATTTGAAGTTATTATTAGAGAAAGAGAGAGAACTGTTTGGGAATTGAATTTTGCAATCATTTATTTTATAGCAGATCTTTATTTTTATGTCTAATAATTATGTTATTTTAAAGCCTTGTCGTCAAAAGACTGCAGGAATTGTCGATTTAATAGTAATGTTTTGTTATACAATACTGTTTGCCCCCCATTTGCACAGCTCTAACATAACTTAATTATGTTATCTATTGTAATGTACTCTACAGTCAAATATTAAGCGATTTAGTGGTTACTACTATTTCCTTGATTATAATGGCTATAATTTAACGATTTATACATATATTTTTTTGGTGCAATAAATACAAACAATTGAGTGAATTGTTTCCAAAGCTATTAAAAATTCATTATTTAATAATTTTGGTTGAAATTTGTTTTGAAAAGAATATGTGATTTGAGAGAATATGTTGAGAACTTTTTTTGATTATTTTATTCATGATATCATTTAACACTCGTATTGAATGGGAATCATAACCATTGGTCTTATAGGAGCACTATTTGCGGTGTTTTCTAATTTGTAGTCTAATCTGCGGCTAATGTCCATAAAATTGAGTGCCCTTGAGATGAATGTATTGGAGGCCCAGAGCTATACTAAATTGTTGTATTTAGTTATGTTTGTGTGATGTTTGAGTGAAGCAATACTTATATACACTTCTTCTCGAGAAGATGCCATTCATTTGAATACAAGTCAACGTTTAATACCTATGGGTCACAGATAAAAGTATTTACTCAATGAGCTAATGGTAAGACATCTGAAAACGCAACACAATTTACTTCTTAATACTAGCTATTATGAGATGATCTGTTCATCGGTATGGATGGTGTGAGTGCTCGTTGTGGTGGTGTTGTTGAGGTTGTTGTGGGGTTTGTGGGGTTGTGGGTGGTCTTTATGGCCTATCACTGCTCTCTATTATCTCTTTTAATAGAGGGGGGTTTCATGAAATACCTCTACAACAAAGTCATTCACAACCAAATACTTGAGATCTATTGTCAAAAGCAATGGACTTCGCGATGAGTAACATAACCACCAATATATCTATTCTTCATATACCGGGTATTCATTACATTGTATAATAAACAGCGATTACGGCTCTAATATGCTGTACAATAGCATACACTATACATAACTTTCATTCACTCAATTCAACCTTTTCTTAAATTTTAATCAAAATATTATTAACAGAAATATTACAACAAATATAGCGATCGTCGCTTCACTCCATTCACATCTCAAGTATACAATTCTAATTCATTTATACATATAAAGTGTATATCTATTGATATATTGATTACATTATAAACAAGAGAAGCAGTGAATCGTGAATACAATGTCTAGAAGTGGAGTTTCGCGACACAAAAGCCATTGGTTTGCAAATGAGTCACTTCTTGGAGGACTCCTACCGTTCCCTACTGTGAGACTCGAAGCACAGGTGCGCGACATATCTGTCCCAAACATTAATCTAACTTTCATTATACCAACACTTACTTCACCGAAATGTCTTAAATCATATGTCAATATTTGAATATAATGTTAAAACAATCACATCATTCATCCGTTCATTCTTTCATTCATTTATTTGTTTCTATGTTTCAAAATTACAAAAAACAAATTGCAAATAAAAAATCATATATTTAATAGTGTAATGCCTCGAGCGTGAATGTATGGTAATTATTACAATATATACAACTGTTCTAGCTTATATAAATGGTACGACATTAATCAAATTCAAATTGTAGTCAAATATTGAAAAGTCGGTGTCTTTATAGTAAAAGTTGTTTTAAAATACTTTAATGCAAACATCTTATTATAATATTACATCAAGAATCAATACATGTATATCCAGAATATTATCCAGTATATCCATAAAGATATACTAACGTTACAACTCTTATGAAGCTTATTGTCTTAAATCTACCAAAACTATAGTCATTTAACAAATATATTCTTACGTCAGAAAATGTACATTTATTTTAATTACCCAAATGAACCCATAATTGTTCCCACAATGAAAAGTATTAATTTGTTAAATTCACACATTTTGACCACCATTGTATAAAAAGTCTCAACACATAGAATGTACATTCTAGATCAGTGGACTTACAAATATCAATTAGCTTATACCATGTATGTTGTCCGTGTTAGTTAATAAATATAACTATAATTGAATTTTATTGGATCATCTCATTTAATATTGTATAGGGCTAATAGAATATAAACATTATGTATACAAATATTATTAGAAAACAAATATTTAAAGAAACAACATTTTGAATGACTTAATGTGTAATAAGTTTCGGAACTTTACTTACGAAACAAATCTTAAAAATCTGAATTTTGAAATTTTTTATCTCAATTAATTATCTAATGATTGAGTGCTGTAATGGTTTGTTTTCATTTAAACCAGACATCATATTAAAGCCATTTATTTACTAAAAGTATTTCTTTATTCTAATCAAAAGAATTAAGAAAAAGTTCACAAAAAGTTTGCAAAGAAACAAAAATATATGCTTTGATTGTTGTGTGAATTAAATAAATTAAATTCAACTAATAATCCAAAGAGTGATTCATTAATTATTGTTTGAAGATATCCGATAAGCTTTATAATCAACTTATTATAGTGTATAATATATTATCTGTAAAATTATAATAATTTGAAAATATTATTAATGAGTACATAAATAGTGTATAACATGTTTGATGTCTTATAACAGGTTTGATTACAACACATGATAACACGAGTAATGCAAACCATTACCACATGTAATAAGAATAGTATCGCAAGAAATATAGAAAAACTGATTTAAATGAAAGGAATTGATTGAAAAACAAATGCTAAAAACTTTCATTGGATGCTTGAAAACACGTTTTCATAAAACTAATAAATTTTTATAAAAATTCTATTAAAATACTATAAAAGCGAT